TGAGTGTTAACATGTACGATCACCACATGCTCATGTCTCATAATGTATTCGGGTTCTGTAATCAACAGTTCGACAGACAGTCAGCTGAAGCTGTGGAACGTCAACAAACCTCACTGCCTTCGCTCCTTCAAGGGTCACATCAATGAGAAGAACTTCGTGGGCCTTGCATCCAACGGAGACTATGTTGCCTGTGGTAAGCACATCCTTTGAATGAGACTACAACGACCATGTTTTTGAATACAAATGTGAATTTCTTGCAAATATAACATCACCTTTTGTGTGTGTGTATACAGGCAGTGAGAACAACTCCTTGTATCTATACTACAAAGGACTTTCCAAGACACTTTTAACATTCAAGTTCGACACAGTCAAGAGTGTCCTGGACAAGGACAAGAAGGAAGACGACACCAACGAGTTCGTCAGCGCTGTCTGCTGGAGGGCTCTGCCTGATGGAGTGAGTTTAGCTCAGTTATATTGTTACTGATTATGATAAACGACATCAGCTAGTTTGTCCTCGTAACATCTTAATACTTTTGGAAAGCTTGAAAGGTCTTTGAGCCATGAAAAGACGAATTCTGTTCTTTTAAATATGCCTTGAGTTTTCACACTGGGTAATATGAAACTGCATTTTCTTGTCAAATTGTATTATTTTGTTGTAACCTATGCTTTGTTCGTGATACTTTGTGTTTCAGGAGTCAAATGTGCTGATTGCTGCAAACAGTCAAGGAACAATCAAGGTTTGTGCTTTGAAACATTACATTTGATGCTAATCACAGAGTTTCTACATGATTTTTTTTATAGATTTTAGTGTCCTGCCTGGTTTGCCGCTCAGTTGACAGAAAAGTAATCATATGAAAGACATCTGACAGTTTTGCTTGTTTTGAAAACCCAAATTAGCACAATCAAACTATTAATTTTCTGTCAGTTGTCTTATTCTCTTAGAATTGTGATAATTTTTTTAGTACCATAATGTTCTGACTGTTGAGTGCACCTGAATATAAGCCGCACCCACTAACTTTAAAAAGAAAATTGTGCATATACAGGCTGCACTTGTCTATAAGCTGCAGGTGTCCACGTTGTAACATGAGATATTTACACGGAAAGATTATTTTTTTACTTTTAATTAAATACATACCGGTACATACACAAATACGTAAATGCTTTTTTCCCCAACAGTGCTTGTAACATGGCTGGTTAAAAAAATAAAACATACAGTAGCCTACCAGGAAAAGTCATTGATCGCTATCTTCATCTTCCTCCTGCACTAAAACCACTAAAGTCGTCTTCTTCAGTGTCGGAGTTGAACAGCCTCAGAATTACTTCATCACACACTTCCTCAGTCTCTCTTTCGTTGTCGCTCTCGATGTCACTTTCGTCTCGAGGCAAATTCATAAAACTTGTAAAAATCCATAAATTAGCTGCATCATTGTTTAAGCCGCTGTGTTCAAAGCGTGTGAAGAAAGTAGCGGCTTATAGTCTGGACATTACGGTATATCAATATACTGGCAACACTAGACTAGATTACTTTGGGAAAGAATCAATTTTTGTGATCTAGGAGTGCTGTACCTTTAAATAGCATATAGCCTTGTACAGTACCAACACTTTAAAGAAAAAATGTTGTAGTTTCATGCTTTTGTGCTTTATTCAACCTAATATAGCATTAAACTCAGCTTCTATTGTTAAATACACGACAAAGCATTGACCTCATTGCTTACAGCTCATTGTTTCTAGTGACTGTGATCTCCAGATAACATCACAGGTGAATCTTTTGTCTCTGTACAGGTACTTGAGCTCGTCTGAAGACCCGCCACATCTTCAGTGGCCGTTAGGAACTACCATCAGCCTCTGTTTGTTCCGCGGTCGGATCAGTCTGACGCAGGGAGATTCCAGGCCGCCTGCTGAGCACCGGAGGACATAAACTGAATCTGTCTTATTTTTTAACGAGCTACAAGTTTTCGGACAGCGGCAAAGACTTCGCACCAGTACATCCGCATAGAAGGAGAAAGATGTGCTGCTATTTTACAGCAACAAAATGAGGACCTAGCTTGGGCACAAAATGGAACAAGAGACTTCAGAAAGCTGTTTTGTTTCCTTTTCAGTAAAGTTATACTGGCTACAATAGAACACCTCTTTATGGTTTTAGGTCAAATCAAAACTTGTACCTTTTTTTTTTTTAATTAAGCTGTTGCTCTTAAGGGTACATCCAGCCAAACGCTACTAGTGTGATGCATTTTCTCTTTTAAAGGCCAAAGCACAAGACAAAATGACATGCAAAAATGATGTCTTCTCATGAAGCTTTTAATACCCCCTCGTTGTTTGTCAGCCTCCTGTTTTTCCCCTTCTTTATGTGTAGTTTTTATGTTTTTCAGATTGGGAGAAGCCAGTTTTAATAAATATGACTTGAATTTCATTCTGTCATGCGTATCGTCAGTTCCTCTTCTGGCTTAAGAGTGCAGAATGTGAAGTAGTGTACGCAAGTCAAGGAAGACCAATGAATTGTGGAGATGATGAGAAACTCCTCTCTGTGCTAATATTTCTGTTAGAACAAAGCGAGACTCGACACGTTTGTCTGTAATCACAGCTATTCTCATGTAACTTAAGGCATTGATCTGCAGTGCCACATGGAACTGGAGTTTTGTTTTTTTTTGTTTCTTTTGGACATATGTGGGCTGTTTGTTGCTTGTTGAAAAATCAAAACCTCGCAGAATCAGTTTTAGTTCTTTTAAAGTAGCAATGGAATTACTCTTCACATACTGTAGGTTTAAACTGTATCTTCTGAACTGAGCTACATTGTAAACTTCAGGCAAACTGCTGTCAGTTTCTGTGGAGTGGTGATCCATGATGACGCATCGAGAGGGTTTGGGAAACACCACCAAGACCTGCCTATTTTATGATAACTGAGTGAGAGAGGTGTTTTGTATTTGTATAACTGAATAAATTATTTCGAAACAACTTCGTCACCTTTGGGTGTATTTTTCTTAGGTATTTATTTCATGTCAGGAACTCGGAATTAAATTACAACTGTGTTCTGGGTATAAAATTATCGTACATTTGTTATGGATAGGGCTTGTGAGACGCATTTTCTATGGTGGACATATTTTTCAAGTCAAACTCTGTGTAAACTTTGGTTGGCTTGCCTTAAGAGTCAAAAAGTACTACGTTTAAGCAGGTTTTCTGTTTGGACTCTGAGTTGAATTTTGACAGAGTCCTTCTGCAACAGGAAAGCCACAAGATTACATTTTTTTGTGCTTCAGTGAAGCAAATTTGACTTGTGACAAAATTTGTGAATAATTAATTTGTGATCCAAAGTGCTTTCAAACAGAGGTGTCCCCTGCCTTCACCCTAGGTCAGCTAGTGAGGATTAAGCGGTGTATAGATGATGGATGGATGGAAGAGAAAAAGATGACTTGGAAGATATTTGATATGTCAAGCAAAACTTTTCCACACATTATTTTAAATATTCATAGTTTATGACAATAATAAAAGCTTCAAGCAAATCAGAGATGGTCCTTGATGACTGGAGATGGAATAAACCACATTAGACATTTTCAGAAAAGTTTTCATTTTGTTCATTTGTGAGTCACGTGACCTCCAACAACGTTAAATACGTCGGGGCGGAGCTGCTCACTAATAATCAGTGGGTGACAAGGAGGAGCTGCATCACGAGGAGAGGTCTGTAAGATGTGTTTCTTGGTATTCTGACACATTTTCTACACTGTATGTAAACCATTTGCAAAAATAAAGTTAATGCTCAAGTCTTTAAAATACATGTTGAAGTTTTGTACTTCCAGTTGACTTAGATGGAAGTTCTTTAACTAAGTGGGCAACGCCCAAGTCTTGTTTCTCTGCGTGCACATCCTCATCATTGTCTCACTTACTGACCACATGAAGCACACCAGGTAGTTTTTATTTTTTTTAAGTGGAGGATGGTTGTGAACAGGTTGTGACTGCGGGGAGGTGTTTAGAGCACAGCGGGAAAATAATGTAGCGCAGAGTTTCTGGAGTATTTTTGCACCGTGTTTGGGCTCCTCCGACTGAAAACATGTTCAAATCAAAGCACCTTTAAAAGGCGAAATTTGAACATCAGATAAACGTTACATGAACATTAAATTACTCTCTCTTTAATTACAGACCAGACTGCAAAAAAAGAAAAGAAAAAAAAAGTTTAATTAAGTTTTATGACGTCATGATTTTAAAGAACATACTAATAGGTGACTTGGACCTTATCTGCCTCTAAGAAAACTTAATGGTTCTGACTTTTTTTTTTTAATAAAAAAAAAAAAAAAAAAAAGAACAAATCTGACTTTAGTAAGGATTAAACAACGAGGAGCGTGCATTAAACGGTTTGAATGCACACAGCGTAGTCTGGCGGAGTGGTGTTACTCCGCTAAGTGCATTCAAACCGCATAATGCACGGCTCCTCGTCGTTTAATCCGCTTATACCATGGTCCCACACAGCGAGCAAAGACACAGAATATTTATTTAATTCATAGAACTTGCTAACAAAAAATGGCTACATTTTTGGGACTATTTTATGCAAGTCGCAATATTCGCGTTCTCTTCTTCTTTGTCGTCTTCAATCTTGTCCAGCTCGTCCGTTGCTTTTGCTGTTCTCGTTTGCTCTCCTCCTCTCCCCATTCTTCATACGCTTTTATTTGGCCAAAAATATTAGTATTACCCACGAGATCCACGTTTTACCGCGTTTCTCTCATTCACATGTCCAGACACACCTGATCTGCGCCAGCTGATGTGCGCGTTGCTATGGTGACGCCCAGAGCCGCGTGATATAAAAGTGATTCAACTCGCTGGAAATAATGCACGCGATTTAGCCCTGTTATTCTCGCTGACCATGGGAACAGAAGATGACATGCATCTGGCAACCTGTCCGTATTTTTTTAAATTAGTTTTTCAGGCTTTTGTGCTAACTCGAGTTGTATTTCCTCTCAGCTGAGCAGTTGGGCCCCTTCACAGCAAACTTCAGCTACAACATGTCGACGATCAGATTTGGAACCACCAGCGGTCCCAGCAGGACGGCCTTTGTGGAGAGCGCGCGGCCGGAGGTGGACGAGGACAGCGGTAAAGCTAAAGATATTCTTCTACATTTTAAACATCTAAAGCAGTTTTTTTTCCTCCCAATGTTGACTAATGAAATGATTGGTCTGTTCTTAAAGATGTGATGGACGACAATGATCCAAATAAGCTCGTGCAATGCCCTTATGACAAAAACCACCAGATCCGGAGCAAACGCTTTCCTTACCACGTTCTAAAGTGCAGGAAGGTGAGTCAAACACTACAGCTAACAGGAATGGGGAAAGTATAGCAGCTGGAACATGTGTGTAATGGCATTTTGTGCATGTATGTACACCTTGTTGAAACAGTTGTAGTCTAATTCAGCAGCTCTGCTTTCTACCTCCATGTTTAGCCCACATCAGTCAAACACCTCAGTGTAGTGAAATGCAGTTCAACAGAACAACAAACTTTAAAATTTACAGGTTCTAGTACAACTCAGATTTAAAAAAACAAACAAACAAAAACAATACCTGCAGAATAAAGTGGTTTAAAGAAATATTCTAATTCTAAGCTTAGATTTTATTGTTTTCCTGATGGACCTGATTCATTTAGAGACTGCTGAGTAGTTGAAAATCCAACAATTCTGTTTGAATGGTGTCATTTTGTTTTATCTTCGATTTGTGTTTCGAGCTCCTAATCCTGAAAATGCAAATGTTGTTTCTGTAGCTAAGGTTTAAGGTGATAACTTTAACTTTTTTACTGATCACAAATGTAACTAAATAAAACAAAAAAAGAAAGAAGGAAAGCTGTGAACAAACTTGAAGAAAACCATAAAGCCAGCAAACTAAAGACTACAAACACATTCTGTAAGATCTGGTTTTACAGAAGGACACCTACTGTTTTGAACGTAGACTTGTTTAGTTCCAGAATATAATGCAAGTTTTCAGATTTAATTTTCAGAAAAAAATTAAAATTAATTTTTAAATGAATAACAGTCTTTGTCACCTTAAAGTTGTGATTTTGTTTTCTGGGCCAATAAGAAATATTTCTATTATTAGTTAGCTAAATGTTCTAGCTGTTTGATTAGATTGGGGCAGTAGTCGTATATGGTAGTGGCTTTTAGTAGGCTCTGGTGTAACTACTAGTTTCAGTGCAGTGCTGTTCATACAAACATTACGAAGCAGAAGAAATGGCATTAACTTCTTGCTATTTAATTGAATTTTTACCCGACTTAAACCCCATGATCCTTACCCACTGTACCTAAAGGGATGAATTGGCATTAGTTTTTAGAAATCCTACCAAGACGTGAGTGTAAGTTTAACTTTTGATCTCGTCTCTCACTGATGCAGAATCATCCAAAACTGGCCAGTGAGCTGAAGACTTGCCCTTACAATGCTCGCCACATGCTCCCCAAGCAAGAGCTGGCGTACCACATGGAGATCTGTGAGAACAAAATATCTCAGGACCAGGACACTCAGGACGGTGAGATTATCATTTGTCTCTCTTTTTTTTTTTTTTTTCTTTTTCTTCATCTGCAGATTTAGAATTGTGTGTCGTTACTGTGAATGAGTGGATTTATTTCCTTTTTACAGCTGGAAACGCAGATAGAAATTGTCAATGGCACGTCCCAGTCAATACTTCGGTTAACCCAAACATGACTGAGGATTGGGAAGAAGGTATGACTGACAACCACAACTTTTTGTTTTTTACAGTTTAGCTTTTGTACAGATTAAACAAACAAGCTGTAACTTCTCAAGGTGCGGATATGTTACATCCGTTTCTGGTCTTCTGTCTTCATGGAAACCAAAAGTCTGTGGCCTTAAGTGTTCCCTTAAAGCAGGGGTGTCCAATCCTGGTCCTCAAGGGCCACAGTCCTGCATGTTTTAGATGTTTCCCTCTTCCAACACACTTGATTCATATGATCAGGATCGTTGTTGGGCTTCTGCAGAGCTTAATGATGAGCTGATCATTTAAATCAGGTGTGTTGGAAGAGGGAAACATCTAAAACATGCAGGACTGTGGCCCTCGAGGACCATGATTGCCCACCTCTGCATTAAAGTAACAGTTATGTCTCGAGACTGAGACATTGAATGCACCAGAAATATTCTTATGTATTACTTTTCTTCCCAAGCGTCCCCTTAGCCAGACCTAACGCGTTTGTTTTAAGTGCAGTGCCTGTAAAGGTAACAGAGGATTCTGTCTTGCAGAGGTTGACAATAATGCTGCTCCGTTTGTGTGGGGTGTCAACACCACTTCAAATCAGCAGTAAGTGATGTGCTGTGGATCTCGACACCTATATTTTTGTAAGTGTTTTTTGTTTATTTGTTTTTGGGTTGTTTTTTTTGTTTTTTTTTAATTGCTTTTTTTTTTTCTCCTTTTGTAGGCTAAAGATGACACCCAACAACAGAAGTTGCAGAGCACCCCGCACCCTCCCATGGAATGATAAGCCATAATTTGTACTGACTGCAGATCCATATGGAATGTTATGCATGCATGGATGTCTTTTTTAACACTGTTTTTAAAGTTGCATGGATCTCATTTTTAAATCCTGGACATAGCTACATGAAATATACAGACTCGGACGTCATCTTTTAAAATGTCTTTTATTGTCTTACATGCTCCCTGTTGCAAAAACTACTTAAACTGTTTGCTTATTTAATAAACATGTTTATCTGCAATAAGTTTTTGTGGTTGGAAATGATTACTTAAGACACGCTGAAATGTTAGCGGCTTGAAAAATATCATCAGTTTGTCAAAACACTTGAGATCAGAACGTACAAGTAACTGCACAACAATGAACACAGACATATTATGAGCTAAATGTTAAAGCAACCCAATAACGTATTATAGAAGGGCACGTTTTATAGTATATACATTGTTAGGTCAAGCTGGAAGTAGCTCAAACTATATGTTCTGTTGGGATGTTTAGTCTTTTCATATCACAGTAGCCTCAATCTGGGTCTAATCTGGTCGTGAAGACCATGTTTTCTAAGCACTAAGAATATTTCAATAGGTTTTGAATAGAAAAGAGCCCATTTAAAGGGGTGATATCATGACGTAAGAAAGGAAAGGTGGGTCTTTGCAATGGAGTTAAAAATTAAGAAAAAGGAATCCAGATTTTAGAAAATATCTGAAACAGCGGAAATGTTGTCATTGTGCTGGCTGATCATTTCACATTTTGAGAAATAAATAGTTTAGACTTAAAAATAGCATCAATTTAATTCATAAGGAGATCTTTGCATGCAAAAAAAAAAAAAGTATCATAATTCAGAGGTATGTGTCATGGGGCATTGCAGGGGTTGGTGTTCCTCAGCAATTGTGAATATGTGGCTCTTAATCCCCCCCCCCTCCCTTTTTTATTTTATTTTTTTTATAATGTGCCTTAGTTTTGTCCTATATTAACTATTGTCATGCCTGATTTCATAATCTTTTGTAGCTTTATAACAATGTACCTTTTTTTTTTCCAGATCTCCCTCAAAAAAAAAAAAAAATTTCTTTTCAAGGGACTTTCTGGTTAAGTAAACAATAAAGAAAGAATGAAAAATAACCAAATCAAAGCCTGGTGCTTTTTGCTAAAAATAAATGTATGACTTTCATCAGCTCAAAATAACAATCTCAACATCTTGTATCTGTTAAACCAATGAGATAGTAAACAAAAACAATGCTGTAATTATGTGTGCTGAGTGATATTATAAACAAATGGTTCTGTCTTGTGATTTTTTGTTTAAAATGTGAAAAGTTTTGCTTTATATTCTATAGTTTTTTGGGTTTTTTTTGTAATTATCTGCATATGCCCCATTCTTCTTATATTCCTTGTAAAACAGACATAACTCAGATTTAAAATGCACAACAAGTTCAACACATGTCAAAAAGAATTCTACAGGTAGTCCTTTTTACAGTGCAGCAGGACAGAGAGGACTGTGTCTCAGTCTGATTAAGTGATTGTATGATTAATTAAGCCTGGAGTAAAGCTAAGAAAGTAACTGGACCAGATCCAGACTGATGTGGAGGAATTAATTTCAAATGGGAATTTGACAAAAACAAAAGTAATGATAATTATTTTATGTTAAGTCACATTACAATGCCAGTTGTTGTATTTCTGTTTATTCCATTCAATAAAATGTTAACCTCACATTCATACCAATAATGCATGTTGAATAAGAATAATATTAATAACATGGATATACAACAACAACAATAATAATAAGAATAAGAATAAGAATAATGGACTTGAACTTATTAAAGCAATAAGATAGTATAAGTAAAAGCATTGCTGTGGCTATGAGCTCTAAATTATGTTTGTTTGTTTTTTTTGTTTTTTTAAAGGCCTCATGATTTTTTTTTTTTTTTTTAACTTTGGTGGATACGGGTTTCCATCGGGACGGCAGCAGACTCAATAGGACTCCAACACAAGGCAGCATCTGGACGCTTCCCAGCAAAAATGGAACCACTGTTCTCAGAGGGGCGGCGGACTGTTTTAGCTGACGGACAACGGACAACTAGCTAGTTAGCGGCCGCTGGAAACAAAACCGGAGTCTAAAGCAAGTTCTCATGTTACCCAGTGAAACCTCGGCAGTATCTGGTTACCCACATAGCTAAGCATCTCTTTTCATTTTAGACTGTCCGCTAATTTCTTCCGGAGGCTGAAAGTTTCGCAGTGAAAATGGGAGTACCGAAATTTTACCGATGGATATCGGAGCGCTATCCGTGTCTCAGTGAAGTTGTGAAGGAGCACCAGGTAGGAAACAGCGCTGACTGTCGTTAGCTTCACCAACACTGTTACCGATAGCCGCGGCGTTAGCGCCGCTAGCTGTTTGCTAGCAGCAAGCTAAGTCTAGCGGGCCGTGGAACTTTTATTCCACGTAGCTTATCAACGTTTTCCCGGCAAGTGGGCAGCTCTCTTGTTGTCAAACACCTTTTACTTTATAATTTAAATAAACATGAAATAGACGTGTTTTTATTAACCAGATTCCACCACTATCTTGCGGGCTATTTTGGTCGTCTGCAGGCACATCTTCACGTTAAACAGGTCAAAGTGAAATAGCAAATATGTTACCTCCGGATAGTTGACGTCTTTGTTGGGCAAGAACATTTTGAACTACAATCAGCCCCTCATAGCCAGCTAGCTCAGTAACTTTATACTAACAAGTGATGTTGATAGTTTTGATAGCTGGTAATGTTTTGTTGTTAGCTGGTTTACAGACACTGTGATGTACAATGTTTGAGAAGCAGTTTAAAATGCTTTGATTATGCGGTTAGTGTGTCGTTGATTCTAGTTACCCTTGTATTACTCAGTAATTTAGGGTAATTTACGGGCTCTGGAGGAGACTTGAGTGACCTAGTTCCTTGTGTAGTAAGGAGGCTCGTATTTCAGTGTTTGAGCGGTAGTTTCATCAGCTGGACGTTGTTCAGTGTCGCTCTCATTGCGTAAGACAGCTTTGGTATGTGTATGAAAGCAATAAATGGAGCTTTTATGCTAGTAGCTTTGAATTAGGTCACACTGGATATGGGGAGCTATGTTGTATGCTAGACTTTGACCCTTAAAGTCACCTTACAGGGACAGTTTCAGAAACACCAAAAACCTTTGTAGGTTCCCCTTTTCTGCATGTCTGGTGTTGTTTAATAAGAGTGTGTTTGTATATCAGGCTGGAGGAGCACACAAGGATGCTTTTGGTGACCAACATATACAAGTCGATCCTTACACTCATCACTAACCACGAAAAACTCCACACACGGAGGTTTCTGTTGTTAACAGATGTGTTTCAAACAACTAAGAAATAACAGATTCCACAAATTTGTCACTTTACAGAAATATTACAGAATGTGTTTACTAAACCACATCACCACAACCACCCGCTGTGACCTCTGTATTAAACGTATTAGACTCATCACCTTTGTTGACGTCAACAAAAACTAAAGACAGAATTGCTGTAATGGATATCATTCCATTTCGCCTAATAGATCAGTGAGAAAGTGTATTATTCGCAGTTAATGCATTTGTTTTTTTGTTTCTTTCCCACCTCAGATTCCTGAATTTGACAATCTCTATCTGGACATGAATGGCATCATCCACCAGTGTTCTCACCCCAACGACGAAGATGTCCACTTTCGCATTTCAGAGGAAAAGATTTTTGCTGACATCTTCCATTACCTGGAAGTGCTCTTCAGGATCATCAAGCCTCGCAAGGTCTTCTTCATGGCTGTGGACGGTGTGGCGCCGAGAGCAAAGATGAACCAGCAGAGAGGACGCAGATTCAGGTTGAGAAGGATCCATTTAATGCTAAAAGTCTGTCTCTCTCTGGCTTTGTTATCAAAATGTTTTCGTTTGATCAGTATTAATAATTGTTACAGAAATATTTTAACCCAAACTGTTGATGAAAAAAAAAAAAACATACGTTATGTAGGATGTTGGCAGTAGTTTTTCTCGAGGTGACCAAATAAAGAAATTGAATTTTATTTACATGCCTGAACTATTATGTTGATTCCAAACTGTAAATAATACCACATTCTCTTTTTAGTTATCTGATTAAAGTGTCAGCTCTGTTTGCAAATATATTTATACAATGTCTGGTAGTACAATCTGAAGTCCAAGTTCTGTATGGATTTCCTTATAAGGTAGAATAAGCCTCAGATGGACTAGAGCCAGAATCCTACATTTTCTGCTTTGGTCAAAAAGACTGAAGAAATCAGCTTACAGCCAGTCTGAGACTGTGAGTTTGACCTGCTGTCTTTTATTTCTACCTGTGTGCGTGGGTGGGTCTCTGTGTGTCTAGGTCCGCCAAAGAAGCAGAGGACAAGATAAAAAAAGCTCTGGATAAAGGAGAGGTGCTTCCCACAGAGGCTCGCTTCGACTCCAACTGTATCACTCCTGGTAGGGATGATCTGGAGCGAAGCAAAATTAACATCATACATTAGAGTGGAATTACGTTTTTTCTTTAGTTTCTTTTCGTGTGTGTTTGACACAGTCAGTCATTACAAGGTTACGACAAATATGTTAACTGTTTGGTTTCATGTAAGTTTATTTTTAGCTATTCAACACATTGCAGGAGCAGATTATTCCATCCTCACATGTTTGTATGCAAATGTGTTGAGTGTAGTACAAATGAACCCCAGTGCATCTGCCTGTTTGGTTCTGTTTGTTTGAGTTGGTGTAAAATCTGTTCACCAAACTCATTGCAGTGAGGTTTACAGATTTTGAGTGTTGAAAGGAAGCACTGGTGTTGTATTGGTATTTTGCATTTGCACATATCCTGCCTTGAGGAATGAATTTCAGTACGTTTGTGCTTCATTCAGTTGGACTCTCCCTGCACTACACATCACATACATTTTCTTTTTTCTGTAAGTACATACAGCAGCTGCTCTGAGAAAGTACATACTGCAATAGGAACATACAACTTCGTCATGTTGTTGTACAGAATGGCATTAGGGTTATTAAAACACTCCCCATCTCTGCTCCGAGCCTGCTTGTTTAGTGAGTTTGATTGACGGCTTTCACTCTCACCAAAATCAAACAGACTCAGTAATTTCAAGGAACCCATCTGAACTCTTAACTGTAACTGTTAACCATTGTCAGTAAAACTACATAATTTTTTTTTTTTTTACCTTGGATGTGTTTTGCAATATGCTAACATATCAGTTATAAACATTCCTTTCCTGAGAAAGTTAACAGCATCTTCTTTAATATCATATTCTGTTTCCAGGCACTGATTTCATGGCAAGACTTCAGGAACAGCTCAAGTATTTTGTCCACAACAAGATCTCCAATGACAAGTTGTGGCAGAATGTCAGAGTCTACTTGTCTGGTCACGAGGTGTGTGTGTGTGTGTGTCTGTACAGCTATCGATAGAAAGCAACTGAACATTTGTGTTTCATTGATAGCATGCAGTTTTTGACAATGTTCAGTAAATGGGATTCTGTGACAGCTATGTCAGTATTGCTTGTATTAAGTTTGAAATGTTGTTTCCTAATAGACACCAGGGGAAGGAGAACATAAAATCATGGAGTTTATTCGGTCTGAGAACAGCCAGCCGGGTCACGACCCCAACACCCGACATTGTCTGTATGGCCTGGATGCTGATCTGGTATGGTTGAGACTTACATATGGATGTACATTACTTTTCAAACCCTCTGTGGATGCTCACTCTGTCTTTCGCTCTGTGTTGTAGATCATGTTGGGTTTGACCAGCCATGAGCCAAATTTCTCCCTGCTCAGGGAGGAAGTCCGCTTTGGAGGGAAGAAATCCCAGAAAAGGTTCTTTTCCTTCAAATCATTTGAATACTTATCGTTTTTGTCTATTCTGTCATAGTCTGTTCTGCCATTTTCTTTTGTAAAACCTGCTTTTTTTCTCCTTCTTTTCCAGGATAACAGCTCCAGAGGAGACAACATTTCACTTGCTTCACTTGTCACTGATGAGGGAATACATAGATTATGAGTTCTCTGATCTCAAGGTGAGATGCGTGCACATGTTTGATGTCTTCTCATGAAAAATCATTAGAACAAATGAAAGATTTTAATGTCAGGGGAGGCGTTGGTAAAAAGTGTTTACTTGAATGTATGACATGCATCGTGTAATCTTATTATATCTGTGGGTATTTTTCAGACTCACATGGGTTCTGATTATGACTTGGAGCGAGTAATAGACGACTGGATTCTAATGGGTTTCCTGGTCGGAAATGATTTCATCCCTCACCTCCCTCACCTTCACATCAATCATGATGCTTTGCCGTTGCTGTACAAGACCTATATCAGTGTTCTACCCAGCCTGGGAGGTGAGCTGCACACACAGACGCATGCAGAAATAAACAGTCGTAGTACTTTAGAGTATTTTAGTGTACATTTTTAAAATAGGGTTTCAAAGGTGCGATTTTGGATTCAAGTATTAGGCTTGTACTATCCAGCTGGTCAAATTGTCATGTTAATCATTATAATATAGAAATCTGTCCTGCACTTATAATGAATATGTCCATTTAAAAATATCTAAATGCTTTATTTTTTCTAACGTAGGTTATCTGAATGAGAATGGCAACCTAAACCTCAGAAACTTTGAGAAATACATGGAGAAGCTTGCTGAGGTAAGACATTCATACATAAAGTATAAAAGTGTCACATTTTGTATGAATACATTTTACATGAATCTGCTATTATCATTATTTTTATTATGTGTATGAAAATATGTTTGAAAAAACTGAAGTCTGTCAATACTGGCCAGCATGAAATGTTCCACATTGGTTTTCAGGAAGTCATCGTTGCTGTTTCTATTTTCTAACGTGAATATTTTCTTTCCTCCGTACCTCCAGTTTGATCGGGAACATTTTAGCGAAGTGTTTGTGGACCTAAAGTGGTTTGAGAGTAAAGTTGGTAACAAATATCTGAATGAGGCAGCCGGACTGGCAGCTGAGAAGGAAGCAGCCAGCAAAGACACCAACAAGAATGAAGTAAGGATGCAGTGACTAAAGGAAACCATTCTTCCTAACCTTTCTTGTATAAAATATGTATTTCCTTTAATTGATAACTCTGATGTTTTGCCACGTGTGTAGGATTCAGCCCTCTCTCTGGCAGCCCTGACCTCATCAGAACAAGTGATTGGAGAAGGAAAAGGAGCGGTGGCAGATGACGAGGAAGAGGAGGACGACATGTTTGAAACTGAGTTCAGACAGTACAAACGCACATACTACATGACCAAGATGGGTGTGGATGTGGTGTCTGAGTGAGTATATTTACACTTAAACACACATGCACATAAAAATAATAATTACAGGATGAAGCATAGATCACAAACTTTTAAGTTAATTGCTTCTAGATCTCCATATGGATGAACATAAAAATGCACGAGTCTGCAAATGCATCCTCACTTTTCTGAATCAGCATCCGTGTCAAGAAGTAACCAAAGTAGCCTTTTGCTTGAATTTGTGGAATTCAGTCATGGTCTCAACCGTCGACTCTCAAAGTGAGCCAATTGAACTGATGCTAAATGCCTTCACTAAACCAGAAATGGTTCATTATTTGACTGAGCACATGTCAAATTGAAATTCCCATTTTTGTTAGTGGTGGAGCTCCTCAATACTTTTCTACAGCATTTTATACATTAAGAAATATTTGGAATTAGTAAAGTGGCACTTCTATTAATGGTTTTACTTTTAATGTTGATAGAAATATCTTTGGCTGGTATCTTTTCAGTGTATTCACTCTCAGCAGGTCAGAGAAAGATTACTGGCCCTGTTTTAATCAGGCAAAGCAGTGGGTCTTGGCACAAGTATTGTGTGGGTGTCTCCAATGCACCTGCTATTGTATTTCATGGAGATGCAGCAGCACAAAGTGCCAAAGAGCTGGGTGAAGTGGAATATAGATCGGATTAATTAACTAACAATGTGAGTGATAAACGCACTTTCAGCCAATTTACATCACTGATCGTACAGCTCTGAAACATCGGAGCCAATCACAGTGATGCATGAGGACAGTAGCTTAGCTAATGAAGACACATGTCCAGGAAATCGTATTGTTGCCACAGCGTGAGCACTCAGGACAACAAATCTGCACCTTGAGGCAGATGGTTTAATTAACCGTTAGGTATTACAAAAAAAAAAAAAAAAATAATCGTTTGGTGAGGCAGTTTATGTAACGAATCAATGCAACGTTGAATGATTATTTTAATTCACATTGTAAACAAATACATCAGAACAGCAGCATCTACTCCTTAATGTATTTCAAGAATTGAATACGAACTGTTGAGACGCAACTCCTGTAATCCAATTCCTTGTGCATCAAAAGGTAAAACACGCAGTTGTAGTTGACTTGTCTGTTGTGTAGACGTGTGTGTGGCTAATTTGTAGCACCTGTGGCACACTACTCTGTCCTGGTTAATTATACTAACCAGGAGAGGTTATAGAAGTTATAATATAATAATGATAATACGATTTTATTCACATTTTAAGCATTATTGCCTTTTGGATATTCATTTATTCAAAGTATTTAGTTTAATCTTATTCACAAAATCATCACATTTGGCAGATTGGAGGTGACATTGTGCCAGTAACAGACATGGTTCAGAGCCGCCTATTTTTAGTATGTTCTAAGACCCAGTAATAACAACTAAAAATAGCAACAACTCATTTCCTCTCCTCCTACCTGTGCACCATGTACCCTTTGCCTGGCACCGAAGCGGCACACAGGTGGGCAAAGTGAATTTCAAAGTCAGGAAAATCCTGCCCAAGTGCTGCCACACCACAGAATTATTGCCCACATCATCACATCAATTTGCACTTCATAAGGCACCTTAAACTCTGTTTTCATCCTCCCATTTACAGCGAGTTTCTAGCCAAGCAAGCCAAGTGTTATGTGGAAGGTATCCAGTGGATTCTGCACTACTATTACCATGGAGTTCAGTCCTGGAGCTGGTGAGTCCCTCTCGCTTTCACATCATTTGCGAACTGCTCTGTGTTTCTTTTCGTTCAAGGAGAAGCCAGATAATACAATGTAGTCTTTTGAGAAGCGATAATGTCTGAAATGTGTAGCTTTAGTGAGTAAAGCAGTGTTCTAGAATCATAACAAACCAAACTAGGAAAGAGTTGAATGTTATAATACAATACAATGCTTTTGTGAATACATTTCTCTAGGTACTACCCCTACCACTACGCTCCCTTCCTGTCTGACATCAGGAATATAGCTGGGTTAAAGTTGACCTTTGACCTTGGAAAACCCTTCATGCCCTTCCAGCAGCTGTTGGCAGTCCTGCCTGCTGCCAGCATGGAGCTGCTGCCCGAGTGCTACAGGGTAACAAACTCATGTCCAAATACACACTCCCACACACATACGACTGATTTGTGATAGGTGCACATGCAATTTATTACAAATCTGTTTAAATTACACTAGACCTTAACTAGATATAAAAGCTACTTATTCTTTCAACACTAATTTTAGTGCTTGGAGTGCATTTGGGCAGCTGTCACACTTGCCTACATGTAGAAACATATTTAAAGACAAAAAATGTAGTAACTTGTAAGAGTTGTGCATTGTCTCTGTAATAATAGATGTTAATGTTGTTTTTTAATGTTCCAGCACCTGATGACCAGTGAAAGGTCACCCATTATTGAGTACTATCCTCTTGACTTCAAAACTGACCTCAATGGCAAGCAGCAAGAATGGGAAGCTGTGGTACTCATTCCGTTCATAGACGAGGTACACGCACTCACACACACCTGGTGCAAAATAGCTGTGTCACAAAAGTTGCACTCGATAACCTTGTTCCTGTGCATACGTATGTGTTTTGTGTGTGTTGAGCAGAGGTGCTTACTAGCGGCAATGGACCCCTGCAATGACAAGCTGACGAAAGAAGAGAAGGCCAGGAACCGTCACACAGAGTGTGCAGTCTACTCATATGACCATGAACTAGACTTCACATACAACTCCACCCTGCCTCAGCTGTTTCCTGACATCATTCACTGTCATGTCAGGTACTGTAGAAACACACACAGTAATATCGCTCTGTCTTTCTTAAATGATCCATGTTATTTTTGTGTTTGGATTGATGTCACATTGAGATTCTTTATTTATTTATTTGCCCATGAGTCACCCAAACACAGGCAAAGAAAAGCAGCTGTTGTACCTTCTCAGTGCGCAAGAAGCTTCGTGTTCACTGCAGGTTTATTGTGTTGTGGTGTTTGGATGTTACAGGAAAGCAAACATCCCTATGGATGCTTGGCAAGTGCAGTTAGACCATGTCAGCAGGCGCTTCGACCGCTCAGCTCTGTACTTCTGTGGCTTCCCCACCTTGCAACACATCAGACACAAGGTGGGTGGGTGTGCATGAATGCACAGTACAGCTGTGTTGGAAGCAAACCATTTAATAAGGTTAAATTGAATGGCCCTCAAAACCAACTTGTAAATCTGCTGAATTTCACAGTAACAACTTGTTTAGTTAATTTCACTGAGGTGCAGTAATAAAAATAACAATAACAAGTATAGAAATGGAAACGTATGCAGCAGCCTGTTATAATGCTCTCCCTTTCTCCTCCATCTCTCTCCTTCTCGACTTCATTCACTGTCTGTAGTTTTATAAAAAGAAGAGCGGGGTGGTCGTGTTCCAGCAGAGCAGCAGAGGGGAGAACATGTTGCTGGACATCCTCCACAGCCAAGACGGGGAAACGGTGAGGTTTTGTTGTGTTTATAAAACAATTTACTGTTTTATCATACCCCAAAGCTCCGGGACTGTTCCGTAGAAGCCTTACATTATCAACAATTAAATTCACAGAAACATAAATAAGATCTTTTTGTGCAAACAAGTGTATGTATAAGTGTGCATTACCTCTGGGTGTGTATAGGTGTGCAGTGTATGCCCTCTATGGATGATTTTATGTGCTTTTGTGCAATTTTGATTGAAATCATTTTTGAAGGATTTTTAGATTCGAAGACTGGGAGATATGTATGTCTTGTTATTGCTGTTCATATTGTTTTTTCCCAAGGGTACAGTTTTGGAGACTGGGCAGGGATGGGTTATAGTAATGAAGTGCCTCCAAATGTTTATGGGGTATATTTAAGTGAACTGCTCATGCTTCCAATTACAGTCCTAATAATGCAGAAACCCATTAAGGAAATGACTGGATTAGTTTTACAAATGTATGAAGGCCTATTTTTATCTACAATGAAAAGCTGCGTTTTGTTACCAAACAGGTTTTGAACTACATTAGGACTTCTAAATGAGGTTTCATAATTTCAACTCGATCTGTGCTGCTTCGTCCAAATTGCATGAAATGACAGATATTTAAAAAGAAAAGGAGGATAAGCCGTGGTGTCAACACTTGTCTTATTTGTCTCCTTCCTTCCTCTGCATCTTTAGATATGTGATGATGTTGCTGCACAAGTACTGGGGAAGTCTGTGTTTGTCAACTGGCCCCATCTAGAGGAAGCTCGTGTCATTGCAGTTTCAGACGGAGAAACCAAGTAAGAACAAGTGGCAGGAATAATGTGTCTGGTGTCTGTTTTCTCATCAGGCATGCACTAATTAGTTTTCACCTATGTTTTAATTATCAGTGCATGAAGCTATCATTTTTTTTAAACTAATAAGAGAATAAATCAAAAGATTGTGATGTGGAAAGGCTGTAAAATAAATCAATTGATTCCTCCACTCAGCTCATGAAATCTTGCCCACAGAGTTTGTCTTTGTTTATTTACAAGTGAAGTTTTGCCTCCTGTTTTTCAGGTTTTATCTCGAGGAACCTCCTGGTGTCCAACAAATCTACGACAGACCGTCCACTCCTCCTCCCACCAAAGTCACCTGCCTCTCCGACAAAGAGCAGAAAGATTGGGTGAAAGATGTCCAGGGAATCAC